TGATGGAACCAGGAATTGAACTCAGGCCCTTGCACTTACCAGGGAAGCGCTTATTCCACTGAGCCATCTCCCTGGCCCCTTCCTAGAAACTTCTGGGGATCAACGGAATGACTAGAAAATGTACGACTTGATTACATGTAGTGTATGGAAAGGACGGTGAATTGTGCATCATCTTGCATGGAGGACACACTCAAATACTTTCGTTGCTTGCTATATATGATACACACAGCAGGAAACAGGGATGACTGATGTGAACTAGAGCACATGTGCCTGTGCAGATGGAGAAACTCCTCCTTCTCTGGTTACTCAGCTGCATGGGAAGATGCTTACTCAAGATTGAGTTGTGTTGTAAACATACAGAAATGTGTTGTAAACAGTAAAGAAGCAGCTGAGGAGGTGATGAGCTTTTGCGTGGGGACAACAGAAAAATAAGTCTGTGAGATTTAATATAACTTTCAGAACAGATTCAATTTCACTTCATATGAAGAATTAGACTGCACTGCTAATAAAGTTGGAAAGCACAGTCTTACCAGGAAAAAGAGGCATCTGGTCCTAAATAAGATTTGATTGGCATCCTCAAAGCTTGTGTCTCAAAGCTTAACCTATTTCTCAAAGCAAAACTTCTCCCAAAATGTGATCTAGTTTTTATGTTTAATTTAATAGATCATACTCTGGAGCACTCCTTATAATATTCAACTTTTCATCTGACATTAAGTCAGAATAAAAGTATAGATATTAGTGTGACAGGAATTGCTAGGTTTTAAAAAAGATCCCGTTTGTCCTATTTTCTTATATTTTATTTTATTTATTTATTTATTTATTTATTTATGGAACCAGGGATTGAACTCAGGCCCTTGCACTTGCCAGGCAAGCACTTATTCTACTGAGCTATCTCCCCAGCCATTTGTCCTATTTTTAAACTGACTGGTTAACATGAATTTATTCTGAATGTGATTCTATGGATGCTGTGTAAGAACAGTTAGTTTATTTCTGAATCTGCCGGAGAAGATGCCTGTCATCTCTCTTTCACCTTCCCCATCTTCAAATAAATTGTCTTTTATTTAAAACAAAATAGACTAAAAATGTTGTGTAAAGAAACACACTGATCATGATAGAAGCTTTTGCCAAACTCAGATATTATCCTTCATGTGCTCTACAAGCTTGTCCAAAATGGAAGCAACATTTTAACTCAGTAATTTAAAAGCAAGTTGCTCAACCAATCAATAATGCTTCTCTTCCACAGACTTTAGTAGTCCAGTAGTAAGGTGAGTGATTGACAGAGTTGAGTTCTGCAATCACGACACTGTAGGAAGCTAAACTTACAGGAAAAGAGAAAGAATACAACCCACACTTTTACATTTACCATGTCAGTGAAATGCTGTAATTTTAAATGTGGTTTTAGACCAGTAGAAATTATATCATCAGGTTTTTCCCCCCAATATGAATGTTAGAAAACAACTGTTTTCTATGTTTTCAATACTTTAGTGGTATTTTAAAATTATATGCAGTATACTATTAAGATACTACTCAAAATATTTTCCTTATATTTAAATACAGAAATAAAAATATATCAGTATTCAACTACTTATTTACAGAATAACTAAACTACAAGCTATAAACTAAAGATAAAAGAAGAAAATACTGGATCTTTACTTTATAATTTTCAAATTGAAACTTCAAATATTTATAAGTACTGCTGGGATGATTTTACAGAAAATAATTTTTGAAAAATTATAAATCATATTCCTCTCACAAAAGAAATAATTTAAGGTAAAGTATAAGCATACTGTCTACTGAAAACCAATATTACATATTACAAGTGCTTGAAACTTTTAATTGCTTCAAAGAACCATTTATACACTTAACTCCAAACCAGTATTGATTTCTTAGCACCAGTTAAAGAATCTACTAAAATTGTATTTCTATTAGCTTCATGTCAGCAGATTTTGGAATATATTTGACTTTTTTATCTTTGTTTAAAAATACATTAACTTTTATGGGTTGTATTCATCACTGATGCATTAAAAAGAGAATATGGTTTCTCAAGTTTTGAGGATTTTATTAAATTCTTTGGGGTTTTTTATGTATTTAATACAGGATCTACAGGGTCTCACTACACAGATGTTTTCATTAAATTCTTGAGAGATAAGCTTCTTCTATGTACTACACTTTATACCACAAAATGGAATTATCATGTAGCAATAAACTTCAACAGATTAGCATTAGGTTACTGTGTTACAACATAATGAAATACTTTTCAGGAAACAATGTCATCAGAATATTGTGCAGTATTTGTTTTTTGATATTTAGAAGAAAGATATTAACAATTATTTGTCTATCACTGAGCAAATAAAGCATCCATAACAAGAAAACTAAAGATTGTTATTGGAATGGATAACCTTTCATAATTTTAATTTCAATAGTACTCAAATGTTGAGTACAGAACTATCCATAGCACTCAATATTAGATGTCATCCAGAATTAGTTATAATAAAATGCAGTAACATATAGTCTTTATATGGAAAGGAGTTAATCATAATTAAGTGACAAATTACAACGATCATGATAATGTACTCCTAAAGATGTATCTTCTGTTTTTAAGCCAATTACATGGAAACCACTGCACATATGTGCATTATCCTAACTTCCTAAATTTTAATCCCTTCATATTCTTAAGGATTACCTTTATTTATAATAATCTTAATGATATCTAGCATTCTTGGTACAAATGTAAGTAGCTGATGTTCAAACTTCACCTTAAAATGAAACATCTAATCTTAAATGGCAAAACAAGATGCTCTATTTGTTATATAAATAATCTATTACGCTGATGGCTGAGATTAGTTATTATTGCTAAATTATTTATATATTTACTTAAATATGTATTAAATGTGGGAGAATTAGTTGATATTTCAATGATTAGTGTTGACTTTCATTCTACAATAATTTTATCACTGGTGACATGGTGTTTATAATGGAAATATAACTAGTGATGAAGGTCATTTGATTCATTCTAAAATATGACTTCATTAATAGAGACAAAAGAAGGGAAATCCCTCATTTAAGTTGATCAAACTATTACAATAAAATGCTTGCCTCTCACGTGTAGGACAATCATCTCATGAAGTGTACCACAACCTTACCTTTAGTTAGCATCAGAATGACAATGAACAAAATGAAAACTACTTGAATATCTGAAATCAGATCCTTAAAAATTAAAGCAGTTCACCTCATTCTCCATAAATGATTCTGTAGTATAAACGGTTTTTAGCACAAAGTATTAAAGGCTAATGCCCTTTTGTTTATTTTTACCTTGAAAGGCACTGGTTCTTCAGCAAGAGGACTAACGGGAAGCGAAGCGGTGCTGCTCGCTGGGCTCATGTCTGAACTCTGAAAGGAAAGCACAACTGTATAAAAGAAGATTCTTTTTCGGTAACTCTTATTATTCCTCCCTCAGAATATAAGTCATACCATGATTATACAATGAGTCATTCCTTATACAGAAATCACTGTTTGGGAAATTAGACTGCCATATCTGTTCACAGAATAAGGGCATTTTATTAAATAACTTGGCCATTTTCTGTATTAGGGTGATATTGAACATTATCTGTCCTTAATTTTTATGTTTATTTTTTTCCTTTGGAGTTAAACAATATTTACACTGACTTATCATGTTGCTGTCTCAGTATCTTTCAAGCTGATTTTTAAACATACATCAAATATTGTTTTCTTTGTATAGGGAATTAAATTACTGCATCTAGCTTTTTTCATTATGCAAATAATCTCTGCCATTAATAAGAAATCAAATGCTGAAGAAGGGCCAGCCAGGTAGCTCAGCGGATTAAAGCACCTGCTTAGGCAGGTGCAGGGACTGGGGTTTAATCCCTGGCATGTTGTGCTGGCCCTATCCCTGGGGCGCACTGAGACAGTGATTGAGACTGGTTATGGTATTGCACCCCTGTAATTCCAAAGGCTAAAAATAGGAGGATCACTATGAGTCCAATCTGTGTAGTGAGACTAGGTAGACCCTGTACTAAATACATTTTTTTAAACAACTGAGGAAATACTAAGTTTTTAAAATTCCTATACATATAACATTTAAAATCTTAATAAACAAAAAATGTTAAAAATTTACATGAATATTATAAAAGACTGGAATGTAACTAATACTGTTTTAATATGTTAAAATTATAGCCAATTAAACTTCTCAAATAAGACATACGAATTAGAAGTTCATTTTGAATGTGTTTTACTAAAAGTAAGCAAAAGCTACTAAAATAGGTAACCAGAAATAGAACTTCATTATATTCTAAATCATTTTATCAGGGAAGAGCTTCACTGTACATAAATAAAAGACAAAAAAACAATGTGTGTCTGCCGTTTCCAGCTTTGTTTGTAAATTTAGTACACAGAAATGGAGAGGAAAAGTGCAGCAGAAATTAAATTAAAGGGATCATTTAACTTTAAGATAAGGTAACAAGCAGACAAGTTTGGCCGACTGAAATTCCCAAAAAGAACCATACTGGTCTGGAGATGTCAAGCAGAAGCTCCAACAGCCCGAAAGGCCTACAGTTTCCCTACATGCAAAATTTTAATGCATTGAACTAAAAGAAATTTTAGTATCCCTTAAAGTGAGTTCACTTCTGATTATGTTGTGTAAAACATATATATGGTCTATATTCACAGGAAACAAGATATTACTATAATTTTCATATAACATGCCAAAATTATTTGAGAAATTAGTATAAGTCTGCACATGAAGTTACAACCTTCTACAAGGAATTTAGGTAGAATGTCAATAATTTTTGTAACCTACTACTGGAAGCCAGAAAACACATGTCCACATAATTTAGATTAGTTGATTGTTCTCCTTTATCTTTAAATACAACCTGGGATTCTAGCCAATTATTTCATCCAATCAGAAAATCATATGAAATACCGACTTTTACAATATGATTATATCACACAACACAGAAGTAAAAACTTTCTCTTAACATAAGAAATATGGGCAACTTTTTGCAGAAATATAGAATGTAATAGAAATGAACTGCTTCTCTCAGTGTGAAATGTTTCATGAAAATTGAGGCAACTGACAAAATTTTGCACAGCTGAATTACCAAACATTTACCTATAGTACTGAAAGCATGCACAAAAAGCATCATGTTCTTTAAAACCACATATTCACACAGCAGTGATATTCTGTTGAAAAAAACATAATGTCTTGATCACATTTTTGTATATAAAAGGTTTTTTTCTGTATTTTAGGGAAGGGTCTACAGGGTGTTCCAGGTCTCACTACTAGATCGGACTTGTAGTGATCTGCCTGTGTACAGCCTCCCAAGATCTGTGATTACAGGTGGGCGCCACCAAGCCCAGTCTCAATTGCCTTCCCAGGGTGCCCTGGGGGCGGGGCCAGCAGGGCAGGCCAGGGGATTGAAACTCTGGTCCCTGCACCTGCTTGCAGGTGCTTTAATCAGCTGAGCTATTTGACCAAAAGATTTTAAATTCTCACAAGATGATGCACTCTAAATCAAGATTCATAGTAAGCTTTTTACAGAGTTAACATTTTCAAGAATTTTTCAAATATAAATGTGTAAAATTCTAAGGACTCTAGAAAGTAGCCTGCAAGCTTTGCCTCCCGTGATACTTACCCTATGAATAGCATTCTTAGAGAAAACTTTTGTCTGCCTTTAACTTTCAAATTCATCTTATAGTATGACACTTTAACTACTGCTCTTGGGATGTCTTGAGGTGAAGGCTTTAAAAAACAAATCAATCCCACATGACAACATCTGATAAACTGCACTTAATTATCAACTTCAGAAAAACAGAACAAAAGTCAAATGAAAGCATCTTCATTTTTATCTTATTGTTTTCCCATTTTCTTTTCAGCGATCTGCAATTTAGATGTCATTCCAGTATGTTTGTCCTTTCAGCTAAAATTACAGCAAGTCTTGTGGATGTAAGTCTTAGTCATAACTCATATTTTAGTTTGTATGTCCTTTTTCCAAAAAAATACTAATACTGATGAAATTATCTGTCAAGATATAAACTGATATAATACTTCATAAGTTACTTTTTAGATTCTTAAAAGCTCACTATATTAGTTCATTTTGTGAAGTATTTTATAATAATTAGGTTTTCATCTGCTTTTGTTATATTTCATAAGTTTGAAAATATTTGGCTCACAGCAATATGAAAATAAATCCCAGAGAAAAATAAAAGATGCATTACACAAAAGACACAAGTATCTCAAGCGACTGAATCTCAGTTCTCAGGTAACACACTGGAGCTCTGCTCTCCACCCACGAGTGCGCCAGGTGCTCCTGCTACAGAGGTTTACTGGAATTCTAGCAAGGGTCCTCATGCTCAACCTTTGATTGTAAGTCTAATAGACAACCTGCTTCTTTCCAATACTAAACAGGATAAATAATACAGATTGAACATTTTCCTATGCATGAAGTATTATTGCACCCAATTCTGTAGCTTTCATTTAGTTTTGAGCATTTCAGAGACGTTTCTGTGACTATTACTGCCTTTTCATGCTTATTGCACAGATTTTTTTTTTGAGAAATGATTCACTAATTTTATGTTGCTATTTTATTTTTTAGGAAAAAATTCATTTATCTGCCTACAGTAACAAAATTACACTTGCTGGGTAGAGTTGCTGCATGTACAGAACACATCTTAGTTCTTTTTGCGCCCCTCCTCTCCCCTTTATCCTTACCCCCTCCAGCTCTTGTTTCCTATCCCTTTTGCAAATCGCTCTGCTTCCTATTAGCCATCTTTTTACTTTTATTTTTAAATTATTTATACTTTTGGTTTCTCATATGAGAGAAAATGTGGTATTTAAACGTGTGCATGTGACACATTTCACTTGACATGTGCTCTCAAGGTGCTGTTGCGGCTTTAGATTATCATTCCCCTACAGTATCATCGGGCCAGGTGTCAACCCAGAGTCATGTGAGAAAGGGGTGGTCCCAAGCCAGCAAAGGCCCTGGAAGCACCTAGAACCCTTCGGAGGTAGTGCCTAGCTGGAAGTCTTCTGGCTAAATTGACTGTGCCCTTGAAGCAGACGTGGGACTCTGGCCTTCCTATTTCTCTCCTGCACTCCCTGCTGCCCATCTAAGTATTACTTCTACACTTGCTCCCCCCACTACACTGCCTCTGCCAGCCTCTGGTGGGGGGCTACTGCAGAGGGCCTGAGGCTTCCAGATCTGTGAGCCAAATACAGTTTGATCCTTTATGTGGACCATCTCAGGTATCTTCTTGTAACTGAGCACTTACTAGCACAGAGCACTCTCACCCTTTGGTTCTAAAGGTCTTGGCAATTTTGTTAACAACTGTCTAACATATCTATCACACAATGAAGCTACTGAAAATGTATAGTTAGAAGCATTCTACAGAATAGATCTGCATGCTCCATCACCATGAAAATAAAGATACAGGATATTTTTATCCTCCCACAAAGTTACCTCCTACAGTGTTAAATTCACCCTCTCCCCATTCTTGGCCTCTAGAAATATGGGGGATCCTTTCCACTGCTAAAGTTTGTTCGTTATTTTTCCATCTTATTCTCTCAAAATTCATGTGAAAAACGTCAAATGAAAATCCACATGGAGTTTCTTTTGAGTTTGGCTTTTTTTCACATAGAAAAAATAATTTAGAAATCCATTGTGTTAAGTTTCTACATATTTCAGTAGTCCATGCTTTAAGTCTTCCATAATATTTCATGGTAGATACAAATATGTATAGCTAGTTGCCTCTGATTGAACTAAATGTGGCTTTCACTTTGGGGCTCTCAGGAATGACATTTGCTGGATATCTGTGTATTTTTGTGGAGCTACATTTTTATTTTAGGTGAGCACATAACACTGACATTGGGTCTTGCAGTGAATGAGTGTTCAATATCAATTCTGACAAATCATTTTATTGGGATGCATGACCTGCACCAACAAGGAATCTTATATCTTCTATGTTCTCTGAAGATGTTTCTTAAAATGTGCTGTTAAATTGTTTTGCACATTTTCATGTTCGATATAAAAATGTTGGAGGAAATCTCCAGTCATATAACATGATCTATTTGTTTGGCTATTCTTTTTTTTTTTTTTTTGGATTTGCAAAATATAGCTTTAATTCAATAATTATCTTTATACAATATTTTCTCAAAATAGATACCGGCATCTTATTTTACCAACTTATAACATATATTTTCATACAGACACT